TGAGCATTACTAATGAGACAGTTTGGGGATAATTTTTCAATGCTTTAATTCTTTTCATTCCAAAGCATTTTCTTTTACCTTTCATCTACAATAAAACAGGCATGTTGTACATTTGATTTTGCAACCTATATAACACGAGGTATGAAATATAAATAGCTATTTAGAGGAAGCATTTATGAAATACATTTTTGGCAAATCTGATTTTGACTTTGTAATCAAAACAAAAAGTTTAAAACTCTTAACCGAAAAGATGAGAAATAGACAGGAAAGACTATTATGCTAGAGCACAAAAAGTCCTTGTTTAGCTTCTTGCTAGAATAAATTCTTTATACAAGTGCAGCCCTTTATTTCATATTTTTTCAAATCTGTTCATTTCCTGCTTAGTCCATAGTCAGCTTTGTGATTTGTTTACCCTTGTCATCATGAGCTAATTATTTGCCAAGAGGCTCTGAGTATTTTTTTTTCAAATGTAAAATGGTGTGTACAAGCTTTGGAAAAGGGAAGTTACATAAAGAGCCACTTTGGTCACCCATTAGGGTGCTTGTTCATGAAATCCTCCCTTGTTATTTATTTTCTTGGACAGCTCTTTTCCCCTCCATTTAATAAACTTAGTGAACAGTTCAGTGTGCATTTAAAGATTCAGAACATTCTTTATTCTTATAGCTTCTAGAACATTCTAGAAGCTGTAATTTAGGCAGTGGGCAAATTAGAGTGCTGATGTTTTGTGAAGAGCCTGGTTTCATCGCACAGGGCATGCAAGTCTCTTTCATAGGAGAGTTCATAGTTTTTAGATTTACAAGAATTATTATATTAGCCCTTACAATTTGTTTCAGGTATTTATCATATACTCAAAGAAGTATCTATATAAGCCCAAAATACCCAGATGCAAACTGAAAAATGTAATTGACTACATGATGTCAAGCATTGGAATGTTTTGAAAAAATATTTTTTCATATAGAGAATTTGGCAACACTTAGATGCAAAGAGCTATCTCTGGTGGAAAAGTTATTTATTTACTTGCTCGTTTATTTATTTATAACTTGGAGAGTTGGCTTACCAGCAGACAGCTGGATATTATAGAACTAATTTCGTTGTATAGTACTCATAATGCAACTCACACATTTAAATTGTGAGAATATAAATCAAAGAATAATCTTAAGATTCCCTCTGAAACAAACTTTTAAAGGTAATGGACCAAAACAGCTTCAGAAATCTTACTGGACAACAAAATTTGCTCAAAGGTGTAGCATTATAATCAAACAGTTCAGCATGTACTGGCTATAGAGTTTCTAAAATTTTAGCCTCAAATTGAAATTCTTTTAGTGATAAAAAGTTTTTAAATGATTAAGTACAGCTGCAGATATTTTATTTACTAGTTTAAAAACATATTCCTATTAAATACATTTCTAAAAGGAATGTTCTTGTAAGCATTTTTATGAATCACAGTTTGTCTATCCTGCCAAAAGGGTTACCCATCATTGCCCTACGTAACGCTGTACACCTGGGGTCGGGGTGCAACTGGAAGTAATTTGGAAACACTATGCTACAACTTGGCATTTATGTCAGATGCTTCCAGTTTATGGATGGAAGGCCATCATGAGACTTCCACACTAAATACAGTAACATCTTTCCTTGCCAGGACTCAGATTTCCAATTATCTCCTAACTAAAGCATAGCCAAGAATTAAAAAAGCAACAAGGTTCCTGGACAACCAAAATAAATATTACATAATCCATGAATGAAAGCTCAGGGTCTTTACCTGTATACAATACCAGAGACTCTTTACCTGTAGACAATACCAGAGACAGTAATGTAGTTTGTTTACTCTTAGACTGAACGCAGTTCTAACATTTGTGGATCTTTGTAAAATCTCAAAGTAGAGTGGAAGTAATGGTTTAGAAAGGGATTCGAATTTTCCTCCTTACTCTTCTGTTTTAAAAAAAGTCTGGGAAAGTATAACATTTAGAAAGATTTGCATCCAAAGTGATTAAAAGAAAGTATCTTACACTTAAAGAAGGAAACCTCAAACTATCTGGAAAACATTCTTATCCAAAACAACTCATTCGTTATGTCCTCCTGGACAACTGAAGTTTTCTATGCAATTTTAGTTCATTTTTGTCATCTAAATTCCATCGTGGAGTTTTATTTCATTTGAGTGGAAATAAAATGATGAGCACTACATAAAGCCAAGGTCTTCATTCAATCTAAGCTTGTGGAAACAAAATTTAATGCCTGCAATATAAACAGCCATGAAAGAACCACAGCAATAACACTCTCCTTATTGTGTGCAACTATGTGCCAAAAACCTTAAAATATATTATGACTAACGCTTGCAATAACTTTAGATGGGAGGAATTGCTATCCCCATTTTATAGATATAAAACCGAGAGTTAGAGATAAAGGAAATTTTCTAGGTAAACTTAGGGTTCAAACCCAGGTCATTCTGGCTCTAAAGCCAGCATTCTTTCCATGGCTACCTTTTTCTTCTAGCTGCTGACAGTAGGTCTCCAAATCTTTAGTGGGGCTCAAGGATTAATTCCCAGATAAGGAAGATTGCTGTCTAGGTTGGATCATTCACTGATTAGATCAAGCAGCCACACAGGCAAGAATTGAGTCTGCTCTCAAGACACTTATATTGTTTCAACCTCTCACCATTCATCTCTCAAATATCTACCTCTGAGATAAAGGAATCTGGATTCTCTTGTAGCTGACTCAGCATGTAGTTAATTTATTTCCACTCCTGAAAAAATAGTTCAGACCATAGAAGGAGGCTATGGGTGAGGGTGAGTGTCAGACATGAAGGAGGAGGAGATGTTTTATTCTCAGAGAGGGCATGATAAAATGAATAGAAGCCTTGTCTTATTTTTTATTTTTATTTTTCACCGCAAAGGACACTTTTTAGCTGTTTACTAGATTTGCATCTCATTTCTAAGATAACATTTGACTTTCCCCATCAATCTGTGCTTACCTTTCTCAGACTCATGAAACCAGGGGCAATAACCAAGTGACCAGTGGAGGTGGTGGGAGCATTTTAAACAATTGCTCATACGTGATTCTGGCCATAGGGGAGTGTAGGGACAAATAAACAGTAAAGGAAGGGGGATACTGTTGCAAGGTTCATTCCCTGTGCAAACAGCTTAGCTAGAATACAAAGTCCACAACGCTTACCTCCTCCCACACCTGAAAGAGAACCTGCATGGGACATTCTGAGGGTTCTCCCCTTGTGCATTGTGTTGCTGAATTCCTGATGCAGTCATCTGGAATCCTTATAAGTAGGTGATTCTTCACTATGTCACTATGCCATTGCATGCTACCTCACCCAGAGTCTTGCCAAAGTGCCTTTTTAAGATGCCTGAAATTACAGTTAATGCTTCATTGTTTTTCCTCAAGCCAAATATTGAGTGATAATACTAATAGTCCTGGGGAGGTTAGTTCATTGACTTATTATCAGTCATTTATATGTTGTCAGAATGAGTTTGATAACAATTTACATAGGAAACAATAAATATAAAAGTCACTTTCTAATCCCTATATTGTCAAATAAATATTAAATTATTTGAGCATATTTTAAACTTTTTAATTGAGATATAATTGACATATAACTTAGAATTTGAACACATTTTGATTGAAGAATTACCTTTACCATCATAGCTAATATTTGTCAAGTGCTTATTATATGTCATGCATTGTTCTAATATTTCATGACAACAAATCTATATGAGGTAAGTGTAATTACTATCCCCATTTTATAGATGAGAAAGATGAGGCACAGAGAGGTTAAGTAACTTTTCAAAAGTCACACAGCTAATAAGTGTCTCAGCCAGGATTTGCACCAGACGTCTAGTTCCAGAACCTACATTGTAAACCACTCTCCTACCCAGTTCCTCTCTTCAAAGGTATAATGGCTGGAACACATGGGAAAAAGAAGATTTGTGAATCATGAAGGGTTAAAATTTATTTTTAAATGTTATTATACCAATATCTATTACAATATGGATAATTTTCTTATATCAGTTCCTAGCAGAACTCTGCTCTGCTTAATGTGGTCTGAACATCAACATAATGGAAATAATCAGAACAATATCAACATGCGTACTTACCATCCTGTGGCTTTTATCACCACCATCTTCATGATCTTCACCATCATTGTTATCATCATCATCATTATCATTATTTATTGAGGGCTTACCAGGTTCCAGGCACCATGTTTAGTTTGTTACCTTAAGTGATCTCATTTGATCCTCAAAGTAATCTTATGAAGGGTTAAAATTATAATCGTTCTCATTTTATAGATGAGAAAACTAAGGCTCAGAGATGCTAAGGTCATAGAACCAGAAATTGTAAAGCTGGAATTTGAATTTAAGTCTGCCTTCAAAGCTTATGTTCTTAAGTACTTCAGTATGTCCAAAATTTTACTACTACTACTACCACCGTCACCACCAAATATCACTTATTAAGTGCCATCTGTGTGCCAGGCTAGTCCCATGTCGCTATTTCGAACTATGTCTCATGAGCCAAATCCAGTCAGCTGCCTGTTTTTGTAAATAAAGTTTTATTGGGACACAGCCATGTGCATCCATTTACATATCGTCTATGGCTGCTTTTGTACTAAAGAGTAGAGCTGAGTAGTTGCAACAGAGATTCCATAGCTCACAAAGCCCAAAATATTTACTGGCTCTTCACAGAAAAGTATGTAGACCCCTGCCTTAACCCCTCTTGCAATATATGTACATATGAACATATTGGAGTTCATAAAGATTAGGTAACTTGCCCATCCAACTATTAAAAATCAAGAACCTACCAAAAAACTGAGGTCCAGATGACCCCAGAACTTTTTCATTTTCCTCTCTGAAATCTACGAAGGCAGCAACTTTTATAATTACCAGTTGCAGGAAAGGAGATTTCTCTAACTTGGTCAACAATATGGTTTAAAATGTTTGACACAGGTGGTAAAGAGTTGTAAGTTTTCCCTTGTCAGAGGGATGTTAAATTCCTCTTACCTTCTGAGAATTTACTGTACTTAATTCCTTGAGGATGGATGCTTAAGGGCTTGTCTGCCTTATTCTTAAAGTGAACTTTCATGATGTCTCCAACTTCAGCATATAAAGTAGGCCCGAGAAGTCCTATGAAAACAAGGATTTAAAATATGTCTGTGTTCAGGATTACCAAGACAGAGCTGCTAAGCAAGAAAAACATGCAGAAAACCCCACGGGTGATTGCCGTCATTCCTCTCAGTCCTGAGGTTGACCTGTTTATCTTCAACCTAGAAGGCTTTGCCAGCTCATTAACTCTATATTACATGCAGGGAGATAAGGATGGGAAGGTAGAAACACTTGGCTTGGGCCCAAAGCTAGTTAAGAGAGTAGAAGAAATAGTTCTGACCATGTCCACCCCATTCTGATCCACTGTCATTCCTGGAGAGACTACCATCTTGGGTCAAGAAAGATGTTCATTTTCATTTATACAGGGTAATGTAAGAAGGGTGACTGGCTACTTTAGATCTCTCTGAAGGGGAGACCTCAGAGACCTAAATGAAGTCAGGGAGCAGATCAGACTGTTCTCTGGTCCTGAAGCAAATTCAAAATCCCTGAGGCAGGAGCTTGATGTATCCAAAGAACAGTCAGGCAAACAGTGTGGCCAGAGTGAGAAAAGTTGGGGGTGGAGGGGGCAGATCACCCTCTATGGGCCATGGTAAGGACTCTGGATTTTCTTCTAAGTGAAATGGGAAATCACTGGAGCTTTGTGCAACAGAGAGACATGGTCTGATATGTTTTAAAAGTTCAATCTACTGGGCATATGCCCAGGGAAAAACATAATTCAAATAGACACATGCACCCCAATGTTCATTGCAGCACTATTTACAATAGCCAGGACATGGAAACAACCTAAATGCCCATTGACAGATGAATGGATAAAGAAGATGTGGTACATATATACAATGGATTATTACTCAGCCCTAAAAAGGAATGAAATTGGGTCATTTGTAGAGACATGGATGGACCTAGAGACTGTCATACAGAGTAAGGCAGAAAGAGAAAAACAAATATCATATATTAATGCATATATGTGGAATCTAGAAAAATGGTACCGATGAACCAGTTGGCAGGGCAGAAATAGAGACACAGATGTAGAGAACAAACATATGGACACCAAGGGGGGAAAGCGGGTGTGTGTGTGTGAGATGAATTGGGAGATTGAGATTGACATATATATACTAATATGTATAAAATAGATAACTAATAAGAACCTGCTGTATAAATAAATAAATAATTTTTTAAAGTTCATCCTAGCTGCTGTGTACAAAATATTCTGTGTAGTGACAAGAGTGGAAGCAGAACAGGTGGTGTAAACGAGAGACAACAGTGTATTGGGCCAGCATGTGTAGCAATGAAGTGGGGAGAAGAGGTTGGATTCTGGACATTTCAACAGTAGAGCCAGCAAATTTGCTGAGGAGTTGGATGTGGCACTTGAGAGAGAGAAGTCAAGGATGACACCAAGGTTTTTGATCTGAGCAACTGGATAAATAATGTTATCAGTTACTTTGATGGGGACACAGCGGGTTGAGCAGGTTAGGGTGCAGAAATCAAGAGTGAGGTTTCACTTACTACATCCCAGGCACTGTGCTAGGCTCTGGGGCCACATGGATAAATAAGGCACCGTCCCTGTCCTTAAGGAGATCACAAGCTCGTTTAGAGATAGACATTCGGTAGGAGCTACTGCTGAGATACGGGCCAGGTGCTACGGGAGCAGAGAGGATGAAGGACCAGTTCTGTCTGCAGAGTTAAGGGAAGAGTTGATATTTGAGTAAGGTTTTTGAAGAATCATATATTAGAATTTCCCAAAGTGTAGTCCTTGGATGCTCTGCATCAGAATCAGTGAGGGTCTAACTAAAAGGCAGACTCCCAAGTAAATACTATCTCAGCCTCAATGAACCTGAGTCTCTGGAGGTGGGGTTTGGGAACCTGCATTTTAGATGTATACTCCTGAGTAATTCTGATGTCCTCTAAAGCTTGAGAACCTGTCACTAGAAGCTCTCTTCCAGACAATTGGCTGTTCTCACTTCCAAGCCATCCATAAGCTCTCATGGGGTTGGTTTCTGCCCATTAGGAATCACAGGAGCAGGAAAGGGAAGTTACAGTAGTCATGGAGTTCAACTGGCATTTGTTTGCTGTGGCGATAATTATAAACGTCCCTCTTGATATATCTGAGCACTCTAAGTCCTTACATTAAACCTCCCAATACATCTTTAAGGTAGATAGTAAGATCTTTATTTTATAGATGAGGAAACTGAGCCTCAGAGAATTTAAATATCTTGCCCAATATTATACAGCTAATTAGAGGCAGATCCATGATTTAAACTTAAATCTATGTGATTCTAGATACTGAGCTTTTAGCCACCTCTTGGTATTGCAGCCCCCCACCTTGTAGTTATTCATTCATTCAACAAATATTGAGTGCTCACATTATCCTAGGTGTTAGAATTGCAATGATGAGTAAAATAGATGTACCCCCTGCCTTCATAGAGCTTAGAAAATAGAAGGAAAGACAGATTTTAACAAATGATCACACAAATATTGAATTACAAACTGTGGTTCATATTATGAAAGAAAAGTACAGGATTCTCTTAAGAGCATTTGACAGAAGCATATAGTCTAATCTTAGAAGCAGGGAGGTAATCAGGGTTGGGAAATGCTTCCCTGAGGAGGTGATGCATTAACTGAAGTCCAAAGGCAAAGAGGCAAAGGGATACACAAGGGCATTTCAGGGAGTGGGATTAGCATGTGCGAAGGCCCTGAGGTGCCAGAAAACTTGGCCTATTCAGAGAACTGACAGCCATGGGAAGGTAGAGCTTAGTAGGTAAGAGAGATAGGCAGAAAGTGAAGCCAAAGGCATGATCAGAGGTCCAGTCACATAGGGCCTTGTAGGCCTCTTAGACTTTTGCGTTTTAACCTAAGAGTATCTGGAAGCAGGGATGTGACATGAACCACATATTGGTTTTTAAACCTCTGGCTGCATTTGTGGAGTGTGATCTGGGGAGAAACCAGAGTGAATGTTGGGAGAATAGATGGAAGGCTCCAGGAGAGAGAGGTTGGTGACTTGGCCTAGTTTAAGGTTAGGGCAATGGAGATAATAAGGAGAGAACGTATTAGAGAGCTATTTAGGAAATCAAATTGTCAGGACTTGATGGGTTGAACATGGAGTGGAGGATGAGGGAGATCAAGTTGCCATGGATGGCTGGTGAGGTTCTGGCTTGGAGGGCTGTGTGGATGAGGGTGCCATTCTCTGAAATGGAGGATGTCGTGGGAGGGTTTTTTTTGGTGGGTGTGGTAGGCAGGATAATGGCCTCCCAGAGATGTCCCTGACTTAATCCCTGGGACCCATGGATATGCTACCTTATATGGCAAAATGGATTCTGTGGGTGTGATTAAGTTAAAGATGTTGAGACGGGGAGAGTTTCCTGGATGATCCAGGTGGACCCAATGTAATCATAAAATCTCTCATAAAAGGGATGCAGGAGTATCTGAGTTAGCAATTGGATGATGCTACCTGCTGGCTTTGAAGACGGAGGAAGGGGCCATGAGCCCGTGAGTGCAGGTGGCTTCTAGTAACTGGAAAAGGCAAGGAAACGATTCTCCCCTAGAGCCTCTAGAAGGAATAGAGCTCTACGAACACCTTGATTTTAACCCAGTGAAACTCATTTTGGACTTCTGGCCTCCAGAGCTCTAAGATAATACATTTGTGTTGTTTTATGCCCCTAAGTTTGTGGTAATGTGTTACAGCAATAGAAAACTAATTTCCTATTAGCATTGATAAAATGTGATCTCTGAGATAGAGGTCCTATCTTTCCCCAACTCCTATCTTTCCACCCACTTATTCCTTTCACTGAACTCCAGTCCTAGAGTTTATATTGACCTTGTGCCTGAAGCTTTTTGTTTGTGTGTTCTTATGTTAGTTCTGCACAGGACCATGGAGGCCACATAGTTTAATCCTCATGATAGAGATGGTTACAAAGCCTGGGAAGTGGGTGCGGAGAGTGACTGGGTGGCATTGCTGGGTGTAGAACTCAGTTCTCTGGACTCTTGAAGCAAAGCTTTCTTTAGCACCTTCTGCAGGGCGGGTCAGATCCCCCACTTTCCTGGAACAGTCCCAACGTCCACACCATTTTTGACTCCTGGCCACATCTGACTCCACTGGCTGACCCCTCTCTTCTGGCTGCTACCCTCAGTCCTAGCTCCCAGCAGAAGTCCCCACTGGCTACTCCCACGGCCCAGAATGCCCCTGAGCCCAGTCAGGTGCTGACTGCTGTCACGTTGTCCACTGCATTTCGTTGCCATGGTTGCCTTGCTCGGTTGATTTGTTTGTTGGCATCACATGGCTGCAAATGCCAGATGCCCAGAATAAGTCTTCTAAGTGATTTAACCTCTTACTGCAATGAGTTCTTTGCAATATTTATTTAGCCTCCCTATCTGCTTCTTCAGAATTAAAGCAAAACAAAGGGATGTTCTTATAAATACAAACCAAATACCTTCATGCATGTAGGCAAACACATGGCTGAACGTTGTTTGAGCTGCTGTTTAGTTCCTTCATTAGCCAGATGGCCTAAGACCTTTTCCACCCTATCCTCAGTGCCCAAAGCCAAACTGGGGGAAGGAGTAGCCTATCTTGAGATCCCGAGAAGTTAGCACAGCATGTGCCCAATTTCTTGCAGTTTGGGAGTTGGAAAGGACTACAGGAGGTCAGCTAAGGCAATCCCCTGCTCTCAGGTGAATAATGTGTTGCAGAATACAGGGCGGCCCATTGTTGCTGTTAATATAAAACCCCTTTGGGGACAAACATTTCATAATCTCCCTGGGAAATACACAGAGACTCAAAACTAGCTGTTTTAGAGCCCAAGACAGGATTTCTGAAAATGAGCCTGGCCCCTCCACCTGTCCACATGTCCACAAACCTCACTGGACAGGTGTCTCATCAGACCTCCAGTCCTGTAGCCTTAGCCCCACCTGTAATTACAATAACTTCTGGGCTCATGCTGGAGAAATGGGGCACATGGCTAGAATCATACCCACCAGATGGGTGGAGCAGGAAATAAGCAAAAGGTACAAAGAACACAGAACTAGGCAATGGAATGGGGAAAGCCACATAGTCAGTGGCAGTGTTCACACCAGATCTTATTAAAAATCTGAGACTTTTCCTTTACATCAGGTTTGCCTCCTAGTATCAATTATTATAGGATTACAGAGATGAATAAGACACCACCCCTGTGCTCCAAGGTTCATAATTAAGCAACTTTGGGAGTTCAGGAAGAGGTTGCATGAAAATGAATGTTAAAATGCCTCAGAGTTCACATAAAACAAATATGTGATGAGATACACTGGGGTTGACAAAGGTAATATTTTAAGTGTACCAGGCTTAAACATAAATCAACTGTCAAGGTCTACTTCTAACTTATGAGTTTGAATCAGGAAATCACTACAAAATTCATCAGCTCCAAGGATTTTGGTCACAGTCTTCTCCTCTTCAAAAATGAGCACAGGGAACTCTACCTAATAAACTGTGGTAACCTAAATGGGAGGAAAGTCCAAAAGGGAGGGGCTATCTGTATGTGTATGGCTGATTCATTCTGTTGGCAGTGGAGGCTAACACAACACTGTAAAGCAACCATACTCCAATAAAAATTAATTTTAAAAAATGATTGATGCCTCTGTATCACCTAAAACAGCAGTCCCCAACCATTTTGGCACCAGGGACCGGTTTTGTGGAAGACAGTTTTTCCACGGACCAGGGCAGGGGATGGTTTGGGGATGATTCAAGTGCATTACATTTATTGTGCACTTTATTTCTATTATTATTACACTGTAATATATACTGAAATAATTATACAACTCACCATAATGCAGAATCAGTGGGAGCCCTGCACTTGTTTTCCTGCAACTAGATGGTCCCATCTGGGGGAGTTGGGAGACAGTGACACCCGAAGTGTGCTGCTTATGTCCGGTCTACTTCGGAAGATGCAGCTTAATTGTCACTTGCCACTCACTGATAGGGTTTTGATATGAGTCTGCAGGAAATTGATTTATTATGGTCTCTGGGCAGTCAGACCTCTCTGCTAATGATAATCTGTATTTGCAGCCACTCCCCAGTGCTAGCATCATCGCCTCAGCTCCACCTCAGATTATCAGGCATTAGATTCTCATAAGCAGCGCGCAACCTAGATCCCTCGCTGCGCAGTTCACAGTAGGGTTCGCGCTCCTATGAGAATCTAATGATCTGACAGGAGGCGGAACTCAGGCGGTAATGTGAGCAATGGGGAGCGGCTGTAAATACAGATGAAACTTCTCTGGCTCCCTGCTCACCTCTTGCTGTGCGGCCCGGTTCCTAACAGGCCGCAGACTGGTACCAGTCTGTGGCCTGGGGGTTGGGGACACCTGACCTAAAAGGCAGTCTGCAGGCTGGCACTGGTCCTTCTATCCCTTACTGCACTCAGCACAATGGCTGACACAGCACATTCAAATTCAGTGAACTTGGCAAAAGTCACAAAAAGGAGAGCTCTGAATCTCTGCCCAATTCCTCTTTTCCCAGGCCTAATGAATATGTTTCCCAGCTCGTCTTCCCTTTACCCACTCACAGCTTAACTTAATTAAATAGTTCTTAAATATCTACTGTACATACTAAGCTTGAAGCTGGATCTATAAAAATGAATAGACTACAGAGTCTGTAGAGGACAGGAGATCCTTTAATTTCCTGACCAAAATGACAAACTTAATTTTATTAGTAATCTTATTAATAAAAGGTTACTCACCTGGTCCCTTGCCAGGCTCCCCACCCAGCCCCCCATGAAGGTTAGTATCTCTTCCACCTCAGGCTGATCCAACCCAGCTTTGAATCACATCACTTCCTGTTTCTTCTGAGTCTGGCTCCATCAGTTATTCTCCCTCAGATGTTTTTATCCTCTCCTTTTCTCTTGGATTCTTCCCTTGAGCACTTAGATTATTTTAAGTCACTGTCCTTCTTTTTTAAATAAAACTCTTAAAATATCCTTAAACCCCTCATTCCCTCCCAGAACTACCCTATTTCTCCTCCCATTTGGAGCCAAGTTTCAGGAAAGAGTTATCTATGTAAGTTCCTCCTACTTACATTTCCTCACCTTCCATTCACTTCCATTCCATCTCCGTTAGCAGGGGAAGTGGCACCAGGGAAACAAGGTAAAGAGAGAGTTTCAAGAAGGGGGAGCATTACATGTCCTAGTAATATCAAGTGGGAAAATAACTGGAAAGAAACCATTGGTCTGGCATCTAAGAGGTCATGGGGCCCCTTTTTGGAGAGTAATTTGATATGATAGAGAATGAAATGTACCAATCACACAGGAAATTGGTAATGAAGGAAAGCGGAGAAAAGGCAGACAGAGTCAAGGGGAGAATTTTTTTGAGACCGGATGTTAATTTGAACATAAGTTGTGTTCTGTTTTATTGTTGAGGATTTTTGACGGAAGGGAAGTCTCCATTTAAGGAAAGATTGAAGATAAAGGAAGATCTGAGGAGGAGGCAGAACAAGATGGAATGAATAAAAGAGATAGAAGGACGAGTCTGGGGAAGATGACAGGTCTTCACCTGGTTGGGGGGAAGGATGAGTGAATTACTGACTAGGGGACCTAACTGGAGGAAGTTCTCTCTTAATGGCCTTTATCAGTTCTGTGAACTATGTTACCATATTTACGATCCCAGAAACCCATTCAGCCTACTGTCCTTAATTAAAAAAGAGGTTAGGAAAAAAAGAGATTTTTTCTCTAAAAATTATAGCTGTTATATACATCACACTAAATAAAACAGAAGAGATGGGAAAGATAGATGCAAAAGAATCAGCCATATACAGTTCCTTTAAATGAGTCTTGGGACCCAGCAAATGATCATTTGCTAAGGCTCATCTGTGCTCATTAAACTAGACCATAAGCTCCAGGAAGGCAGGAAATGTGTCTCTCTTGCCCAGCGTGGCATCCATAGTGCCTAGTTCAATTTAGCACCCACAGCAGGTGTTCAATAATAGTTCGTTAGATGAGTGAATAAAAATTCAAACACTTAGAAGTTTTGTTTAGTTTTTTTTTTAATCACAGTTAAAAACAGCTGGCTTCACGGGCATGAGACCCATGAAATTGCACAGGGCCCCATGCTCAGAGGGGCCCCTAGTTTGGCTTAATGCTTTGCTTTTCTCAATTCTCAATACTATGAATAAGAGCTCTACCAATTATCTAGCCAAAATAACAAAAACACACATTTCTATAAAATATCACTAAGTGAATATTTTAGATATATATGAATATCAAATTATCCATAGAGATTTATCTTTAAAATTGAAAAATATTTTCAGGCTTACCTGAAGTTGTGGATCGTGGTTTTTCTTTCTGAAAATATGCTTCATACTCTCTGTAGACAATTTTCTTAAAGGAGGTTGCAGAAGTATTCGAACTGGAAATAAAATAAATTTGAAAGGCTTACATGACATGTACTTCGCACATTACAACAAAATATATCTCTCATGTCCTCAGACTTTTACTAGAAATAACAGTATTTTTAACTGCAGTTCAGAAGCCCAAGGTCTTATAAATATGAACAGTAAGCGAAGTTAATAAAATAATTATTGGCGTCTTCAAGAATATTCTGTTGTGATAACCATTCTTTCACAAATTTAGTCTTCCCTAACCAATCCTGTTACTCAGAATCAATTTTCTAAAATAGAACCCAAGATGATAGTGTGAACCCAAACTTTAGGCTTAGATTTTAAATGATTAAAGACATGACCAAATCCTTTATGAATAAATATGTGAGCTGTTTTTCAACTCATCAATCAAATACAGTCTTATGTGACTGGGGAACATTGTAAAGAACAATTGATTTGGTGGACTCTATTTCTCACTGAGAAGTTGAAGATAGCTAATGGAGTCAAGACCCTGAGATTCATATAGGAAACAAACAAATGAAAAAACTAAGTCTCAGAAAGTTTAAGTAACTTGCCCAAGGAGAATCAGTTGATAATGGCAAAGCCAGGATTCAAAAACCATTGTAGAGTCATCCCTTGGTATCTGTGGGAGGTTGGTTCAGGATGACCCTGGAGCCAAAATCTGTAGATGTTCAAGTCCCTTATATAAAACAGACTAGTACAGTTATCCCTCTGTATCTGTGGGTTCCATATCCACAGATACCAAGGGATGACTGTTTTCATGGTTAAAAATTCAGAGAGAGGGCAGCAGGGAGAGTACTGGGATACTTTCCCATCTTTTTCTTCAGTGTCTCTAAAGATGGGCACATGATTCCTATCCTTGTCTTAAACTCAAAGATGAAGGAAAGATAATTAGGGGAAATTTCTTACCAATGTCTAAACCAGTTGCCCATATTGGCTTTGTTATGCTTCCTAATCCAGAGAGTGGCCCCACTATAATTAGGGTGTAACAGAGAGGGATACTAATCACATTTGCCATGATGTCTATGTAGCACAGAAGCTAAGAGAACAGGTTGTAGATTCAGAGTGTCTGGGTTTGAATCCTGTGTCTACTCCTTGTTAACTATATAACCTTGAAAAGTTTATTTAATCAATTTGTGCCTCTGTTTCTATCATTGTGAGCTGGGACGAATAGTAAAATCTCCCTCACAGAACTGTTACAAGTTTTAAATAAGTTAATACCTACAAAAGGTTTAGAGCTGACACATTGTAAATATTCAATGCGTGTTAGCTAGTAGTATTTTTAAAATATAATGAAAATTGTATTTGAGCTTTTAGGTTTTCCCGGTGAGCAGAAAAATCTGTAATTATAGTCATTCTCATAATTTTAAAATGTAAGATACAAGAACTGTGTTAATATTTGGAAACAGAATTAAAGGAGGCATGAGTAAGTATTTTTGGAATGGCTAGCTATTGAAGGTGGTGGGTTCTCAGTCACTGGAAGCATTCAAGTAGAAACTAGACAACTATTTGCTAGGGGTATTGGTGCTTTGGGTGTGGGGAAAAGTAAGAAGTTAAAACATGAAAGTTAAAAATGAATTAAACAACCTCATAGAGTTTTTAGAGCCCAAGAAACCTAGGATTCTGTATGTTAGTTTGTGTCCCTAATGTGGAGGTCCATTTTTATTTATCTGTGGTGGTAATTTTGTGTGTTTAGTTTTATGTACAATTGAAACATAGCTCCCATCCCTAACCTTAGATCTTTAAATACAGGAGTATAGGTGACAGTATAAAATCTTTACTAAGAAAAATTAGTCTTTTATGTGGAGTAATTTTAATAGAGGTGTGTTTCCTAATATGTTTCCCTGTGTATATTATGTGTGCATACTGAGGTATATTTATTTTAATTTGAACAATTGAATTGCTATTGGAAAATAATTTGTCTGAAAGTTAAAGATGACATGAATTTAAACAATATGCATGATGAATTTTCCATTTATGAGGACTATTTAAGGATGATTTATTCATAATAAAATCATATAAAGCTAGAACATGAGAAAAAATACATATGTATTTTTTTCAGTATCTGTTACTATATACATGTGATTGAACATGTTTCCTTAGGGAAATTTTCAAAAACATTCACTTCAGCCCCAGAGCAAGAATAAAAGATATATTTCACCTCTAAAAGGCACTGTCCTGCCAATATTACATGAAATAAGGAAAGATCTTTGCTTTGTGCTAAAATACACTTTAGCAAAGGATGGAGTTGTCTATGTTGATTTCTTTATAGTGAGTATCATTAGCTCTAGATGTAGGACAATTTAGAACAAGTTCTTAGTTTAAGCAGCCAGATACAAGGTTAGACTTTTCACATAAAAGTACTAGAAAGAAATGACATGATTTGAGGTTCAAAAATATGGACAGTTGGTCTGGATTATCACTGTATGGTTTTGACTCAGTAATTAATACCAGAGGAACAACTCTTCCCAGAATTCTGGAAACTCAGCCACAGAGAGGATAGGATGACCAATCATGGCTTCCTATGTGAATTCACCATATGAATCAGAGTTTTGCCCTATGTGATTATGCCTCCAAAATTCTGCTTGTTATTCTTGTTGTTAATTACAGAAGAAAGAACAAACTCCAAAGCATAAGCACAGTGTGACCCAGGAAAGCCAGCAACCAGGTTAGTGTTCTACCCAAGAGCAGGACAATTAATGTTGGAAAGACTGCTACTTCCTTTGGGGTTTCAGTTAGCAGCAGTTCTCTAAGGGTGTGGGTGTGACCTAGATTATCACCTTGAAATACAATATTTTAAATGTATTTAAATGTACAATATTTAAATAAGAAGTCCCTCCTTTTTTGTACAAGAAAAAAGAGGGACTTCTTATTATTACAAGACCAAGATGCAATGCCCTCCAAAATAACCCAGTTACAAAGAAAAGGTTTTGAAAGGGTAATGTTATACACTAAAAGGCTTAAAACATTACAATATCTTCTTGGCAGATTGCTTTGGTTTCGAAACTGTAAAAGAGGAACACATCTTTCACAATTGCTTAAACTGTGATGTTAAGTTACAAAAAAACTTAAGTCACACTAAGAGGTTTACCATTAAAACAAATAAAAACATAACTAACTGGAAATATCGAGTAGAACCTATGATTTGTTTAATTTCTGTGAAGTCTTATTTTTAACCTTTCAATTAGGAAAAATAGTTTGCAACTCAAATACAGTTTTATTATTTAACCCCCCTCTAAGTCACATATGCCTTTTAATAGTGACTCTATCAAAATAGCCAGAGTAGACCATATCCCAGGGAGTGATTAAGAATGAGAGAAAAAGGAAGAGTCACACAAAGCAGAAAAAAGGTACAAGAACAACAATGTTGCATTTTTATGAACTGATGATGTTTTGAAAGTCATTTATAAGAAAACAACAAAATTATGGCAGTTGTTATCGAATAACCTGCTTATAATAAAGTATACAGTGTACACCTTTAGTTTTAGAAGATGAAGTTATGTGGACATGGAATAAATAATATGTAACTAGAAGTTTAATAAAATACTAGACTACTAAAAATCTGGAACAGGAGTGAAGAGGTAGGTACCTGGTGCTTTTGAATCAATCAATATATTAAATCAACTATCAATCATACTAACAAAACTGTATTAACAGCAAACTTAAACAGCATCTAGCCAAACACTATTTTCTATATCCTCAGAATGATAAACTTGTATTATTGGAGGCAAAATGAGCATCCACCAAGCTTATTTTATTCATTATGCTCTTCTATTAATAGTATTTACCTGCCTGAAGTAAAAAAAAAAAAAAAAAAAAAAAAAAGCAATGCAATTGCAAAGGGAATGCTCTCTAAAAGAAATAGATTGTCCTCCCTGGAGAAGCCCACCGGTCGCCATGCCTGCCTTACCTAAGGTATGTGGACTCGGGGCGATAGTTCCAGCTGATGCTCTGAGCAGCCACGTAGAACTGCCTTAGCCGCGCTGCTTCAGCCCCTAGGCTCCCCCAGCCTGCCCAGCTGGAGCCCAGGACCACGAGGACCCAGAGGCAAGGGCAAGCTGGGAACATGGTTCCTTTCCTGCCTCTGCCTCAGCCGATTGCGCCCGGCTTGGCCGGGCTTGGCCGCTGTCAGGACTGCAGTGAACGCCGCGCGGCTGCGGGTGGCAGTGTCCTCCTCCTCTACATTTCCCCGAGGCGTCGCGGCAGCTGCAGCCCGCGCTGTCCCCACCTCCTGGGGCCTTTCCAGGCTGGGGTTGACTAGGTCACTGCTCCAGATGACAGGAGGTATTAGGGAGAGCAACCAGGTTAGTGACTGTTTTACTACCAGTGGAGAAAGGGCAGCAATCAGCGGCTCTAGCAGGCAGGGCAGTGCTCAGGGATTCATGAGACGGGGCAACACTGTCCCCCCCAGCTTCCATCTGCTGACCCCACGGCTCAGTAGCCCCTCATCAGACCCCGCCACCATAAACACTGCCTGGGGCAGAGTTCACACTTACCAGGCGCTCTGCAATTCCCAGGGCAGTGGGACCCAAATCCCTTCACCACACTGCTCTCCTTCTGATCTGAGGAAGAGGGCCCTATGCCCTGTTACTGGGCACAGAAATATTGTATTTTCAGGTGGTGAAGAAGCAAGGGGATGGTCACGTGAATGGGGCCTGCTGGCCTGGCCCACTTTACTGACTTCTACCCATGCACAGTTCTGTCTTTTAAAAAATATATATGTATATTGAAATATAGTTGATTCAATGTTGTGTTAGTTTCAGGTATACAGCAAAGTGATTCATATATATGAATATATATATATATGAATATATATATACATATAATTTTTAGATTATTTCCCACTATAGGTTATTATAAAATATTGAGTAGAGTTCCCTGTGCTATACAGTAGGTCCTTGTTGTTTACCTATTTTATATATAGTAGTGTGTATATTTTAATCCCAAACTCCTAATTTATTGCTCCCCCCTTTCCCCTTTGGTAACCATAAGTTTGTTTTCTGTCTGTGAGTCTATTTCTGTTTTGTAAGTAAGTTCCTTTGTATCATTTTTTTCGATTCCACATATAAGCGATATATGATATTTGTCTTTCTCTGTTGCACAGTTCTGTCTTGATAAGGGCCTGTGGCCACCTAAGGCAGTGACAGAGGAGAGGGCTTAAAGAGCTTCACTGAGAGAATCAGACCAGATTTCAATCCCACTTACTAGCTGTGTTCTCTTGGATACGTTACACAACCTCTCTGGAGCTCAATTTTGACACCTGCAAAACAGGGATGATAATAATAGTTTTTTCCGATAGGGTGGTTGGGAGGATAAAAGAACACTGTGAAGTATATAATTCCTAGCAGTTGGAAAGCACACAGCACGTGTTGATTACTATGATTATATTTTTCCTGCCTCCAGGGCCCTTTATGTATCTCGGAGGATCTTGCTATTTCACGTGGCCTTAAGATATGATTTTGCTATTTATAGAGAATCTGAAAATTATCTTGTCTGAAGCATCATTATGACTTATCCCGGGTCCCCTGAATCTACATGCCTCCAAGCTTCTATGATTTGTCTCAACAGATTCAATAAATTGTAATGTAGCACCTCACATGAGATCTCTATGATGTCTTCAGTCTCCTCAACATATGGTCTCTGTCTTTGCTTCTTGGCCGATATTATTTGATCAACTCAGACTGTCCACTCTCTAAAGTCCAATCAGAGTTCTATCTCCTTGATTCTGGGCCAACTTGACTTTTCCATTTTATGAATTCCTACCACATGCTTCAAATAACATACTGATGTTGACTACTCTCTATCACTTTGCATTGGTGTCTATTGTGTCCCCAACTAGATTATAAGCTATTCAAGAACAGGAACAGTGAATGCCTTATCCTTCTGTATCTATAATATCAGTGGTTCGCAAAGCTGATAAACCATCAGAATTCCCTGGGACGATTTTACAAAAGGCAGATTCTGACTCAGGAGACAGGGTAATAATCATCGTCCTATAACACGGAGCCTAGTGATTGGCATAAAGTAAGCAGTCAGACATGCTATGTACAGTATATGAGTGAAACTTTTTAAAAGCAATGTGTCCCTAAATCCCAAGGTTACTACCAAAATTCTTTTTTTTTTTAGCATCTTTATTGGAGTATAATTGCTTTACAATGGTGTGTTAGTTTCTGCTTTACAACAAAATGAATCAGTTATATATATACATATGTTCCCATATCTCTTCCCTCTTGCGTCTCCCTCCCACCCTCCCTATCCCACCCCTCCAGGCGGTCACAAAGCACCGAGCTGATCTCCCTGTGCTATGCGGCTGCTTCCCACTAGCTATCTACCGTATGTTTGGTAGTGTATATATGTCCATGCCTCTCTCGCGCTTTGTCACAGCTTACCCTTCCCCCTCCCCATATCCTCAAGTCCATTCTCTAGTAGGTCTGTGTCTTTATTCCTGTTTTACCCCAGGTTCTTCATGACATTTTTTTTTTCTTAAATTCCATATATATGTGTTAGCATACGGTATTTGTCTCTCTCTTTCTGACTTAACTTCACTCTGTATGACAGACTCTAGGTCTATCCACCTCATTACAAATAGCTCAGTTTCATTTCTTTTTATGGTGAGTAATATTCCATTGTATATATGTGCCACATCTTCTTTATCCATTCATCCGATGATGGACACTTAGGCTGTTTCCATCTCCGGGCTATTGTAAATAGAGCTGCAATGAACATTTTGGTACATGACTCTTTTTGAATTATGGTTTTCTCAGGGTATATGCCCAGTAGTGGGATTGCTGGGTCATATGGTAATTCTATTTGTAGTTTTTTAAGGAACCTCCATACTGTTCTGCATGGTGGCTGTATCAATTTACATTCCCACCAACAGTGCAAGAGGGATCCCTTTTCTCCACACCCTCTCCAGCATTTATTGTTTCTAGGTTTTTTGATGATGGCAATTCTGACTGGTGTGAGATGATATCTCATTGTAGTTTTGATTTGCATTTCCCTAATGATTAATGATGTTGAGCATTCTTTCATGTGTTTGTTGGCAGTCTGTATGACTACCAAAATTCTTGCAAAATCTTGTAACCTTTAGTTAGACTTTCATCATTTTTATTTGCATGTTTTATTTGCATTTTTATTTGCATGTTTACTTAGTCTGTGTGACATGTTCATTGCCTCACATTTCACAGAGAGGACAACTATATTGTTTGGCTCTATATTTTTTGTATCAGTTTCAGACAACTACTGTGTAACTTTCAATAACCTATTTATTAAGCATGTGAATTAAAGAATGTGTAAAACACACTCAGGTGATGAAGACATTTTTCTGCTTCTCTGATTTTCTTGTGTGGTTATGGTGGTGGTAAGATACATATTTGCTCACTGAAGGGTTGAGCTTGTAATTGGGACTACTGTGATTGTGCATTACATTCATGTATGAAAAGTGATGGACACAGATCTTATTCAACAAAATGTCAAATAATAGAACATGGCATTTGGGGGAATCCTTTTAATTAGACATTCGAGTATTGGTCTTTGGGTCCTCTGGGGGAGAATGACCGGTGGAGGGAAGGTCTACAGTGACATGTACCTTCCTGTCTCGATCCTTAGTCTTCTGCAGCCTCTGGTGCCATCCAGAGGCTTCTCTTGAAGCCTCACAGCAGAGGTCTAAAAGCTTTCACAAACAGCAAGCAGTGAAGACCCAGGAAATCCTACAGAAATTCCCTCAAGTCAGAGATGCCTCCTGCCTTCCAGCAAAGTAGAGGATGATTTCCTCCAATCCAAAAATAAAGAGTCATTCTTATTTTTCTGAAGCCTGGTCTTCTGGTGAGTCAGATGCTCCAGACTCTAGTTAATTAGTATCTCAAGAGACAGCTGGGGCAAAGCCCACAGACGACAGCAGAAACATTCAGTCCCAGCTTCTGAGGCTTGTGTTGGAGGAAGAGGAACTGGAGCAGGAAGGGGTGGTGGGTGGAGAGTTGGGGCTTGTGATACAGTCCTTCTGCTCTGGTCCACAGCTAATCTAAAGGAAATTCCATGCCCTTTATTCACAAGTATTTACAGAAAACTGCGGCAAATAAGCTACAGTTATAGTCAAGTCTGTCGGGAAGGCTGATGTTCAAAACTAGGATCCTGTGGAGGTTGAGTGAGGTGACCAAGAGAAGGACGGGTCTCTGAAAATGAGACAAAAAATTAAAATAATTATATTTTCCCAAAAAAGATAAAAGAAAGCTCTCATCCTATGTACCCCCTAAGGCTTAGTATAATCTTTTTCTAGATTCCAGATATTCTGCCACCTAGGCTACTTCTCTTAGGAAACTCAATCATTCACTGAGCTTTTTGGGAGAGAGACGTTATCATATGACTTTTGTTTTCCTAGCAGGTCACATAAGGAATTGGCTCCATAAAGTCTGTAAAATTTTTTCTAGCACTCGTGACTTCTGGTGATCCAGCAAAGCTGCAGTATCAGTACCACCTAGCAGCCAGTAATTGAATGTCATACATCCTGACATAGGTTCTGTCTAATTAGAACATTTCTATCCTGGAGGAAATGGAAATCTTCTTATGATCTCACTTTCTATTGTCACTCTACTGCTATACCTGTCCCCTACTGCCAACGCAAGTTCCTGCATGGTTTGAACATTTAATACATGGTTAAAATGTGACTCATGATTATATAAAGAAAAGTCAAGCTTTATAGTCTTCCTTTTTCCCCTACTGTTCTATTTTCTTCAAAAATACTTTCGTAGATAACTTACCTTAAGGGCTTGGGTCAAATGCAGCATTTGTAAAAACTCCGTATGTTCCTAGGTGGCTAAAGAAGAGAAACACAAGGATGACCTGCCATATTATGCTTTGTCCTTGACCCCAGTCCTGCACATAGTTCCTGCAGAGACCATGGATTACCATCCCACCCCTGGAATTCTCTGCTTTTAGTGGGAAAGAGGAATAAAACCAAAGGGACTTTCAAGATCCCACTTAACAGCTCTGGGTCATTTGCATTGCACTTTATACCCATGTTATTGTTGATGCTTTGGGTACTGAATACTTGCTATGCCCCTGCTGCAGCTTCTTCTTGGTGAATTATAAAATTCCAGCCTTGATACTTGATCACGTGGCAATAGTTTTCAAAGAATGGTAGTAC